CACCAAATTTGTTTTTATATTAAGGTGGCATCAAATTTTTTGAGGTGTCGAGGTGGGACATGGAGCAAAAAAGGTTAATAACCACTGATCTAATGTAATGAAATATAACTTGTGCAACAGTTAGTGATATCAACGTGGCCGAATATGACGCTCTAAGCATTGAATACGATACTGAGACCATGTAATAATCCTTTATACAAGCCTATATTCAAATTCGATTTTCTTGCCCCCCCCCCCGTTACATTATGAAATGAAAGTTGGAAAAACAACTATTCTCAGCTTAGATGGTTCTGAAAACAAAATTAAATTTTGTATTGAGCCAAACAATCAATTATTACATCTCTTTGCCTCTTTTTAGTTAAAAATATAAATAGTGCAAAACCTTCGCAATATGTCAACTGTATGCAGTTGTACAGGAGTATCAAATGCAATAACTTTTGAAAGTATAAAATACCAAAGTCTGTTCTTCACAAGATATTTTATTCAATGACGTTCATTTTAGTAATCTCAGTTTTTTTCGTCCCGCCTAGTTTTCTTTGATACTTTTATAGATATTTTTGTTAGTTTGACAGTTTTATTTTCAACTTGTAATAATTGTTACTCGATAAGTCAACTTATTCACCATTTTAGACAAAGTATTTGTAAATAGTATTAAGGTTTGTCGTTATAAAAAAATAAATAAAACTATTTTTTAATCTTTCTACTAATATGCGTTGTTTCGTATGGGTCACCCTGCGTTTATTAAGCTAATTACATGTTTTCCTTAATTCATTATTTGTGTAAGAGGAAAAGTGATGAATAATGGTGCGATATACCATTTTAAAATTGACAAACATTATGTTACTTCTCTTAATCAATTTAAAACAATATCTTCCTCTGCTCCTGTTAGATAGAATACAATCTCATCTAGAAAAACAAAAACATACCCATTATTTACTCGGAAACAAGAATATCAACATTATGTATGTATGCAACTTATTTTACACAAGCTGGACTTTATTATTATGTAATGTCATCTGGATTATTCTCGTGCACAGTTACTACCCAAGGTAAGATATATATGTGTGTGTGTGCATACATGAAAATGTTATAGCCATTTTTTTTTACTTTCCTGGCAAGTCATCTATTTTTAAACACAATTATTTAAACACAAAATAATTGAAATATGTTTTCTTAAAGACTCTTATAAAAAATATTAACACCTGTCATCAGTAATTATCCCAAATCATACAGTATCGGTGGTGTAAAATATCGAATAAGAACAATATAAAATTTAATATACATTTTAATACATTAAAAATTGTAAGAGTAAACAAGAAAATGAAGTAGGGAGACAAATCAATACTGACATTAAACTAGTTGTACTATATATATATATATATATATATTTGTAAATGAGATAAATTTGGTTTGCCATGTTTCTTTGAGAAAATGTATGCCAGATGTCCTTGTTAGCAACGCTCTTTTATGAATCCAGTAGCTCAACGCTTAAGGAACAACAACAGCGCTCTACTGTCAAGAAGTTGAAACTTCATCTAATAACAAGAGCATCGAATTAAACTCGCCACAAGAAGTTTCAATGAAATTTAGTAACTCTATATTCAATTTTATTTTGTAAAAAAGGTCATCTACTTTGGATTTTGTCCTTGAACTAGGTCCTCTTGTGGGGCATCGGTAAAGTTTACGCACTTACAACGCTATAATCCGGGGTTCGATTCCTCGTGGTTGATAACCCAATATGTCTTTAGTTTGAAACAAACTTGAACTTTTCCCTAAAACTGATAATACTGAACTTAAAGTGGAACTAAGAAAAAATTGCTGATATAATTTCATGTAATTTTTCACAATTTTATTACAACATTTAAAGAGAGTGTTCCAACGATATATCTTAAGTGAGGATTGTTTTGGTTTTTTCTGCTGCATATTTCAAGTAATAGCAAGGTAATTACAATACCAAATTTAAGGAAACAGCTTATGACAGTATATTTTAAATATCCGACTACTGCTAGAGACTTTTACTGTATTACTTCAATCCTCTCTTTAAATGGGTTAGAGAAATCGTGAGTATAATGAAAGACATAAGCTATGCTATTTTGTTTAAAGAATTAATTGTTTTTTACGTGTGAATAATTCAGTTTAACGACTGCAGAGTAAAACTAAAACATCATCAATCATCCGTTTCCTAATGAAGTCATCTTTGTAATGGACTTTTACTTTTAGCTTTGGATCAGAAGAATACGTTTTATTTTATTAGCATAAATGACGGTAAAACTAGTTGATTAATTCATGAGTGCTAGTTAAAGGTAAGTTTTTTATTGTGTTAGTTTTGTCGTATTGTTTCCCCGAAATCTTATAAAAGTCTTTAGAAAATTAGTAATATGTTTCTTGCTGGAGGCTCCCCTTTCGGCGAATAAAGACGTCTGACGACTAGACAGTAAAATCCACTTAAGGCTCAGCCGGCTGTGAGTGGCTTAACCAGATTAATCTTTTTTGAAATTATATAAATCCTTTAATAAAGCTATATCTAATTACTATCAACAAATATCAGAGCTAGAAAATTGTGTGGTGATTATAAAAATTACTCTAGAAAAAATGTGAATGTATTTATTAACAACGACTTTAAAATCGGGAACGATTACTGTTATTGTTCCTTCTATCTCCGACTCAAAGGAAGGAGAAATGGTAGGGATCATATCCGGAATTTAGCCTCTTTTTTTCTGGAAATTTACAGAGATGTGCATTTTTATTTCACGAAGAATCCAGGGGAGTGCGTCGATCTATAATTGGGTAAAATCCAAAGAAGTTATTATTGGCTTTTATCAGTAGAGTTGGGTGATTTTTTTTTTTTTACATAATTCAGACAGTGGGCATGACATTGTTGTAGTACATTATCTACGGAACACTCACCATTCCAGAACGTTTTGTGAAACCTGTGAGGAACTGCTGAAACAACGAGCCAGATTATCTGGGTGTTTATTCTTGTCGAGGTCGGATTCAAATCTAACCTGAAAATTTAAGGTACTAAAATGGCTGGAATGTTCCAAATGTAGCATGTGTGGATGAAATCATGATAGCACATTAGTTTATAAAAAGGTTAGTTGTAAGAGAGGTCAGAGAAGCTTCGGTTAAGGAGGTGCTGTTAAGCGCCCAAATAGAAGTAAGTCTGTGTACAAGAGCAGTAAACGTAGGGACGTATCCGACGACTTGCACCTAAATGGGGAAGAGGGCAAAGACAATTCGTCGTAGTGCAAATCTCGACGATACGAAGGAGGAGAACAATTTAAGAACCGGAGAATACAAGGACTTTTTCTGAGTGAAATGCAAGAATATTACAAGGAGAGAGGAGGACTAAAATAATCGCGAAACAGCATGACCATATCATACAGGTGATCCGTTTGGTAAGATAGAAACACCTTAACGATTAGTTAGCTGGATCAAAGAAAACAGTAAACAAAAGAATCCCTGGATTGTGGTGCCTTTGCACAGCAATGTACCCCCACTCTTAGGCTTCTGGATTTCCAAATCTGATGGGACACCCACCACCTACCAAAATAGTTGTATTTTCTTCCGCTGAGTCACAAATTGTTTGTTGATAATCACTCGATTACTGCAAAATGATCATAATGTAAACTGCCCTAGTATCTTGGTATTTATACTTTTTTTTTAAAAAATCTCTAGAACAGAAACCTCTTCATATTTTAGTAAGAAGTGATTGCATAGGACCCCCTTTTCTAAATACAAGTACCGTTATTATAGCATTATAATATACATTACAGGGAACAGCGATGAAAAAAAAACACAGAAAGTGACGTAAACGTTTCACAAACAGGAAAACAAACTTTAGTTAAGGAAATTTAGGCCAAAAAACGGAAGAAAATTATTCTGGTGTAAATTTCCAGTAATTAAAAAAAGTTTTTTAAGAGCAAAACTACACAATGGGCTATCTGTGCTGTATCCACAGTACGAATCGTTCCCCGATTTGGGGCGTTATAACCCTTCACTTTTACCGGAGGCTTAATTACATATTGAAAATTCTGAGAAAAAAAAACATTAATCTCTTATAACTGGTGAATCTTTCGTTATTAGTATAACCTTTAAAGAATTTTCGTTTGTTTATTTTTAACGCAAAGATCCACAGTGTGTTATTTGTGCTGTAACCGCCACATGGATCGACCACTGAAATGTAGCGCTATCAGATGAGCCACTGGAAAAACCTTAAACAAAACGCAGTTTTTTACCCTTATGCCATAAAACGAACTTTTTCTCGAATATTTGAAATAGCTAGTTTACGTTACGTACACCAGGCGGCATCGCTTGATATAAGAGATATATTCAGAATTCTGCGTTTTCAGACAACCGAGAGGAGGGGTCAACAAATTTGATGCAATAAATCATCTGAAAATTAAAAATTTCCGAAATGAGGACAATCAAAGCTTAAATTTACAGGAACTGTTATATAATTAGCAAAAAAATTCGAGACTATAGTCATCAAACTCTGAATAAAATTAATTCATTTGCTTGTTGCAAAAAAAAAAAAGGGTACACTTGATGTTGTTGTTCCACTGATACGAAATTAGCATTTCGTTACAGAGGACACCACAAGTAAACAATTTCATATTGCACTTTATTTTACCTTCATTGACTACAACATCCATATCTATTTATTAAAATTCACAGGT